CGGGACTGCATGAGTCAGCAGCCCCTTCCCACAGGGCCTGGCCTGCTCCACCCTCCACAGGGTTCTGTGGATGCAGAGTCTCCGCCTGAGGGTTCGGGTAGGTGCTGGGCCAGGACCCAGGTGCTCTGAGCATCCCCTTCAGTGACTTAGCTCAGGAGAGGTGGGGGGAGGGCAGGCAAGGCCTTGGAGCCACCAACATCCCAGAGCGGTCACCTTTGTCTTGACCCCAGGGCTAGGCTTGCTTAAGACCAGAAAGGAGGCTGGCTTTGGTTTTGTTTTTAAATAAGCCAGTTGTTCTCAGTTTCATGTGCAAACCCGGTGATATACTTTTCTAATTTGATTTTTGAGTTAATTTCCCCAGTTGGATTATGTGAATTACATCCTGGAGGGAATTAGAAATGTGAATAAATCTTAGACCTTTTGAGTTAGGGATTTCAGATTTGATTTAGGAATTTAAGTGAGTCCCACCCATGTAGCGTGCAGAGGAGGGATTAGATCTGCGTGCTCCAAGGTCCTAGTGGGGGACTCTGGGGCCTCTTTGCCCCTAACAGAGGCTCCATTACCTCCATCAAGAGATAGCAGGAGTGGCGGTGAATGATCTAACTTGTCACTGGAGAGAATTTGCTTATTCCACAGCCACATGGCCTCAGCCAGGAACTTGGTCATGTTGTAGAGAGGGGTTTGAAAATGCAGGCCAGATCCCCTGCAGGAGGAGTGTTCCACCCCCACCAGCTGGCCAAGTGTTCCCAGCAAGGACCCTTGCAGCCCCGAGACTGTGGTTGTATGGTGGAGAAGGCCTCTCTGGTTAGCCACCTCCTCAGCAAGTACTCCTGGCCCCAAGGAAGGAGATGGCAAATAGGGCGGGTCCCCCACAGTAGCTGCCACCTGGAGCACAGGAGTGCACAGGGCCACGGCTCCCAGCAGTCGCACAGCCAGAGGCTCTGCACAGAACCTGCTCTCACGGTATTTTCATGGCAATCAAAAGAAAGGTGCAGCCCTTCCAGGCTGGCATCTCTAGCCAGGGCTAAGTCATTTGTTTCCTTCTCAGAATCGGAGAGGTTTTTGCTGGTGGCTGCAAAATTAAATGCTGATACTTGTATTTTTGTAAGTTATGCTTAATCTGATCAGTGGGCTGTGTTAGAGAAGTTTGAGGGGGAAAAAGTCAAACCAAAGACAAATTTCCTTTAGTAATAAGAAAGCTGATTTAGGGCTGGCCCCAGATAGCTCTAATTACCCCCAGCCACACACTAAGGCAGAGCGCAGCAGCAGGGGTTCAATCCCCACTGGCTGTGGTGGCCTCGCCCCCGGGGCACACTAAGATGGCAATTGAGACTGGGCATGGTGACA